GGCACAGAGGTGTATGTCCGTCATGTCATGAGCTGCGTTCGATGAAAGCAGCATGATGTCCCGAAGTCAATATTTCCTCCTTTTTCACTCATCATGAGTGATGTATGCGTTCTGGAAGTAGTATCCGGAACGCGACAAGACCCCAATGCCAACAGCAGCAATTATCCGCGCTGACAATGTTTCAGTGATTTCTTTTTTTGCATTGTTTGCTTTTTCCAAGGGATTTCGATGCAACGTCGCGAGTGCTTTGACGTGGGGGTTTGTGAAGTTATTTGTGGTGTGAAAAAATGCTTTTCACGCTTTTCAGCAGCAATCTCCCAAAAAGCAATTTTTATGGTAAACAGAAAAGTCACATCAAAAACCGATCCAACAACGAGTTAGATGAAAAAAAGGCAGGAAGGAAGGTAGGCGTTGCCTTCGAGATCTGCTAACAGCAGCAGCAACAGAGCAGCAGTAGGAGTAGCAGCGTCCGGTGCAACATTCACAGAAAAATGCCGTTATCCGGGAATCATTCGGAAGTGCTTATAGCAGCAATTGAGATGATTGGCCTCGAGCCCGCACCTTTGCTTGCAACTGTATTTGGCATTGTAGCCCTGCTGGCACTTCTAGCCAATTCTGCTCTGCTTATTTATATCATTTACAATCGACTCTATCGCAATTTCATTTCATCCCATTTCATTGCGCATTTATGCATAACAAATGCTGTTGCGCTGTGCCTCCTGTTGCCAATGTTCATTTACAATGTCTGGACTGGTCTCAACATCTGGGCACATAGCAACGTGATGTGCCGTGCACAGGTATGCATGCATAAGCCCATTTGTTTGTTGCAGAAATTTTAGAGATACAAACAAGGAATATCGTTGGTTACAAGACTGGAAGAGGATGGGGGGCTTGAAATCTTCTATTTTTTAAACATGTGCAGTTTGTTTGGTATTGCTGGCCCACCATGGAGAGGAACACAATTGAATTTTGATATGAAATTTGCGGCAGTTGATTTCAGTACCAATAAAAAAGCACACGGATCCAATAGTAATTATTAGTAAACAATGAATGCGAAGAGTACAAAACCGAAACCAACTGCATGGTTTTCGACTACGTAACTAGACAAGATGTTGCGCCCATGAATCTGATGAATCAATTAGGGTCATTTCAAATAACAGCAAAACATTACAAGCACTGCTTCTTAGCGGATTTGGGCAAAGGAATCGTAAACCGTTGCATTCATGCAAAAAGCAACGATTCGAAACCGTCAATCGAAAAAATGATCAACGACAAGTTTATTCGTTCTAGCAGGTCTGAATCCCTCCTCCCCCTTCTCTTTGAACGATTCCTTTCAACTTCACTAAAAGTATAAGCAAAATTCGTCCCTTTTCCTCATAAGTTTTGTTGGGAAAAGGTAATTCCCTTATTTTCACTGTTAATATCATTTCAGCTCAGAGAATTTTCAAAGGTGAAGTGAGAAAAAAAAAATTCAATTTCAGGCTCTGCTGACCTGTGCCGTCTGGACAGTGATACATTTCATGGCGCTTTGTATTGCTGGCGTACATTTGCTTACTTTTGCACGAATACACTATGAGCAATTGTTTGGCTTGCCGCCCAATATGCTTTGTGCGCTTTCTTGGCTACTAGCCTTTGGCCTGGCACTACCAACAATTACCAATGGACATATCATCATCTATGATCCCTCATTTAGGCATTGTGTCTGGGGCGATAGGTTTGTTTCGATCACTTTAAATTTTAGGTGTGCTAATTTTGGACATTCAACTGCTAAACAAATAAGCCAATTTTTCGAGAGCGAGCTGAGTCCCCAAAAAGCAAAATTACGTACATAAACAAAGGTCATCGCCAAATAAGAGAGCTTATGTAATTATAATAGGAGGAACTTGCCTTTAACAATAATTATAATTTTCCAAATGGTTCACTACGATAATATAAAAAAAAGAAACTGTAATTTCTAAAACAGTCCACTATGACCACATAACAACTTAAAACAACGGTGTGACTTGATAATAATTCAACTCAAATACATAATTCAATGATTTAATTTGAATTTGCAATTTGATAATCTGATTTCAACTCACAATTTGGTAATTTAACTCAAGAAATCTTCCCCAGTTCTTTTGTAAATGCTTCTAGGAAATTCGACGAAAAAAAGAAAGAATTCTATCAATTTCAGTGACAGTGGCCTTAAATTTTTAACATATCTGCTAATCCTGGGAGTATTTATACCGGCATCATTATCTTCCTATGCCTATATTCGTGTTCTTGGCATTCTCTATCACAGCCCAATCGTTTTTCAAAGTATTGGTCTATATAAAAGTCGTTTCCTCGTTTATGCGTTTCTTTTGAGGTACGTTAAAATCATAATCTTTTTTTTTTCTTAAATCGGCTCTACCCTGGTCCTTTAATGTGTCCAGGAATAAAACGGCCCAGACAATCAGTGTCCGGAATCCAATTTTATTGCTTTTACTGAACTGCTCGGATAAGCCATGCGCAACTATTCCTGGATTTTTGCAAAAGCCCGGATTTAAAGCTCTAAGGAGCAGTGTTGCAACTCTATTCCTAGTTCTTGCACAGTTCCAGGATAGGAGGGGACTCTCCTCCTCATCTCCCGCGACTGCCCCCCCCTCCACCTCCTCCCCATGCCCGTCGTCTCTCAGGAGTCCGTCCTGCATGCCGTGAGATAACTTATCGGCTAGGAGACATCGCCTTATGCAGATTTTGTACTATTTCAGCCCGTTCTATCAGCTACCATTCTATGCAATCACGATTGTAAAGGACTGGAGGAGGACGGAAACAATGGTGCCCGTGATAATGCTATTTTTGGCATTCATGCAATGCTTTATTTCGCCTGCTCTCTACGGTGCATCGCTTTTCATGATGAAAGAAGAGGATATGGCACTCACAGCTCGCGCACATAAAGCACCAAACGCTCATTCACTCACTCAACATTTGTAATTATTAACAACAACCACAATCCCTCTACATTCATTCTCATTCAAATCGATGGTAAATTGGTGCTAGCATATGC